CCAGCCCAGGACATACGCCCAGTCTGGATACACATAGGTGTTGTTGAACTTCAGGGGGGTGTGCTTGACCAGAGAGAAGATGAAGATGCCCTGAAGTAGAGAACAGACTTCTGACTCAGCTTCACTGAAACACCACAGGAGGACTAGAGAATATGCATTAAAATAAAGAATATAGTATAACAATAGAAACTGCTTTATACAGGTGATGTTTAAGAAGATACAATAGTAAAAAATACAATAGTAAACGTAAAATCAACAAAATTAAAAAGAGCATACAGTTTTAAGCATGTTTTAAGTAGAATGTAAGGCAATCAAACATGAGTTTTGAGCTGGGTTTTGAAGACAGTCAAAATGTGTCTGCCTAACGGTAAATCTGAAGACCATGTTTGTCTCCTAGAAGATAAAAATAATAAAGAACGGGGCCCAAGACTGAATTCTGTGGTATATCATAATTGACTGGAGCCATGGGAGGACCAAGGACAAGACAATGCTGCTTGCCAGTCAGATAAGAGCATAAATCCAATTAAAACCAAGATAGACAAGAATATTTGCAAGTGAATGATTTACTGTATTAAAAGCAGCACTAAGATCAAGGAACATAAGGATACTTATATCTTCTGAGTCAGACACAGTAAGTAAATCACTCACAACCCTGACAAGAGCAGTCTCAATGCAATGATTAAAGCAAACACTGGACTGAAATGGCTCAAACAAATCAGAAAATGGGAATGGTGAATTAGAAATCAGTCTGTAGTTTATCATTTTATCAGAACACAAGCCTGTTTTTTTAATCTAGGAGTTTTGATTGATGCAGTCTTTAAGACAGTAGGTACCACACCCATAGGAAATGAACTGTTGATGATGTTGACAATTAACTGGCAGATGTCTGAGAGGCAAGCTTTCAGTAAAGTTATTGGCATGGCATCTAGGCAACTAGTTTTTTTTGTAGCTGTTAATAATTATTGTATTCGAGATATAGGAGGATCTGGCGGAAAAGAGAGCAGCTCTGTACACTTGCAGGTGTTCATTGTAAGCCTTAGTCTGAAACACTACACCAGAGCTTTTGCTTAAGTTCTCCAGGTGCCATTGAGTTCGTTTCAAATTGTGAAGTTCAGGTTTACATAATGAAGAGAAGCTCTTGAAAGAAACAGAGCAAGTTTTAAGGGAGGCATATTTAACCAAAATACTAGTCAAAATACTGATATTAAAGTTACTTTCAAGGTCAGTTTGTGTAAAAAGTTCAAGAAGTTCTTAAAGACATGCTCTTACAGTGCACACAACTGGAGTGATGTAGCGCCAACAGTACCAAAACACAGCCAAAGGCCGATAGCCAATCATGTCCTCAATGTTGGCACAGAAGAGATCAGCTCCTGCATGAAACCCAAAGGAGAAGATCACAAGCTCAGTAATGATGAACAAATGTATGAACAAATGATGAACAAATGTATTTTGTAGTGCAGTCTGAATACATTGAGAGTTTTGTGTATTTTATCAGCATGTAATTTATCTGTACTAAGCTGCAGGAGTAAATCCTTGTAAAAGCAGTTCTCAAATAAAACTCTATGAGAATTACGGCAAAAAATGGAAGAAAACAGATACTGACCAATGAAAACCCCCCACCATTAATAAGAATGAATAGAATAATAGGAATAAAGATTAACGTTAACACCTACCATATACCCATCCAATACAAATAGTCTGAAATATTGCAACAAACAAGAGGCAGGCCCCATTGCAAGCATAGTAATCAACCAACTGGAAGATGTATATTCCACCCTGGAAAGACAGAGAACATTTTGCCATTTAAATACATGTGAAGTGACAACTGTGATTTTACATTACGTACAGAGGTACAACTATGATTGTCTTCTTTTTGGCATTGTGCAGTGCCAACACTTACTGAAACTGTTGTTTCTAAGTTTCTTTATTCCCATGAGCTTCTTAGGCAAATCTGTTGATCCTTAATTCAAACCAGACCATTGCAGGTCTTGCTGATTGATTATCAGGCCCCTCAGCCCTCCATTCCTCACCTCAGTGACCATGAGGAGCCCAAGCAGGAAGCAGACCACACAGAAGAGGAGCAGAAGGAGCTCCCGCCGGTATCCTCTCCGGAAAATTGTAGGAAACAAATCCACGATGGCCGTCATCACGGTTTCAATGCCCACAAACTGCAGAGTGCAAGATAACAGAGAGCACAGACACCTGAGTCAACTCACTCCCAGAACACACAGTCCACAGAGCATGCAAACACAGGTTACCCCTTTGGATAAAAAGTATTGTACTGATTCACAAGACGGTCTCACCTCTGTGTCTATTCCCAGCAGGAGGACCATGATGAAGAAACAGACAGCCCAGAGCTGGGGCAGAGGCATCATGGCCACTGCCCTCGGGTATGTGATGAACACCAGGCCAGGACCTGAACAACCAGACATGGGGGAGGCAGGGAGTGAAATAATTTCAATTATAGAAATCACAAACTAAATCTGAGAATGCACAGTTGAGTACAATTAAAATTAAGTCTTTGTCAGTGAGCAGCTACAGTATATGAATATTTAAACCAATTGTTCCTAAGGGTAAAAGTAAAGGTTTTCACAGAACAGTCCTGTAAGATTTACAGTTACAAAGCACACTCCAGTCAGAGGAGAACTAATGAGACAGTAGATGTGGACAGACTGTGGCTCACCAGACTCAGCAACAAGCGAGATGTCCACTCCCTGCTCGTACGCCATGAAGCCCAACACAGAGAAGATGGCAAATCCAGCCACAAAGCTGGTAGCACTGTTCAGGAGGCACAGGTAGAAGGAGTCCCTGCATGAAGAGAGACCATGGCTTCAATTATTTCATCACAAGCACCACCCACCCTAGTATGGAGCCTGAGAGACACTTGCTAACAGCAGGACCTATTGGTCTAGGCTGTACTGCATGTACTGATCACAGTTTGTACTCATAGGATACCAGGTTCAGCACAAAAATCCCATGAAGTGTTAACTGTACTGCAGTGAAATGTTGACAGTACCTACAAAATTTGTCAGTATGGAATGCTTTATTAATGGAAGAATTATCTCAACTCCCATAGAAAATGATAAATTACTAAGGAAAGGAGTGCTTAAACAATGATTATGAAAAATGTCAGTTCATGATACTTTGCTGTCTACAGGAATTTCACTTTGATATCATTTTTCAGAGTTACCTTTCTCTTACCTGTAGCAGTTATTGTTGTATTTGTTGTAACTGCTGAGTCCTATTAGCAGTCCTCCACAAACACTATAAGAGAAGAAAATCTGTGTCCCTGCATCCATCCATACCTAGGATTGACAGGAGCACAGGTTTACAAATCTGTATGGCAACCACTTGACAGGTTAAAAGGTTAGTGTAATATACAGTACCAACCACACTGTGTGTTAGGCACTGGTATCATGTTTTGAGAATCTGGCCAAACTGAATCAGTTGATCAGTAGATCTTCTTGGGAACATGGTTAAACACCATGTGAAGACTGGGAAGACTGAGAACCTGGGATTTCATCCTAACCCTGTTCTATACATCCTTGCAGTACTTTTGTGGATTTGTGTATAAATCCTCTAGACCACAGCAGTAGGACTGGGGGAACTGTCATAGAGATGAATATACTGTCAGTCTTTGAGATAATGATGTTATTGACATAATCATGGTTCCTACTTAGCATTCAACTACAGACTATGCAGACTAACAGTACAAGGCTCTGCTGTAGCCTCTGGAAATGTACTGTCAGAGGCATAGAACCAAACATATCACAGTCTTAGTTTAATGTAGACTTTATTAAATGAAAAACAAATTGCATTTTTACATATTTTGAAAATAGATTTTTGCAGTTTTGTTCCACATGTTTCTCATGCTAGAGATATGCATTACACATCGAAGGACCACCTGTGGGTCAGTGAGCCGTGTTACATCAGGGTAGAGGTAGAAGACCAGTCCATCAGCAGCTCCAGGCAGGGTGAGTCCTCGGACCAGCAGCACCACCAGCATCACATAGGGGAAAGTGGCTGTGAAGTACACCACCTGAGGGGGCAGGGAAACCATACATATATGGACTGTTCATTTCAGATCTGCAAGTAATTTATAAAACTACCATATTAGGAAGTTAACCCTGTTTTTATACTTCAAATTGCAATCTTGAGAAAGTATCTTACAAATCTAAGATGTTATGCAGTTCAAATACACAACCCTCACCTTCCCTGAGGACTTTACTCCCTTCCAGATAGAAAAGTAACAGATGATCCAGGCCAGCAGGAGACACAGGGCCAGATCCCATCTCAGACTGCCCACCTCATCGATCCCACCAGAGATACCCAGCACCCTCCTGCTGCAGAGATGACAGTGCACATTCAATATTATTGTAAAAACAACTTGCAAGTGCCTGTAATATAACGTTAGTGATGGGTTTGCCTAACCTACTTCCAGAACTCCATTACAGCAGAGGTGGCCCTTTCTGCCTCTGTCCCATTGAAAGTGAGATTCTGCTTGTCAAACTCCACACAGGCATCTGTCAGAGGACCAACAGAATTGAAGAAGTGTGTGACCTTGTGTGAAAGATAGCAAGAACTGGTGAGAGTGCAGAGAAAACAGGATCATTGCTCTGCTAATACACAAGCATCTGAACTTTCGACTCCATTATTGGATGCCGGTTTCACTAACTCCAGTGCACTCAGCCTGGGAAAAAGAGCATCTATGAAGGCTTCATTTTCAATGCTCTGAGATTTGAATGGGCTGCTAGTGAACACTTATTCTCAGTACCTGTGTTCCAGGTGTTTCTGCAGCTGTCCCAGGGCAGCTCAGAACTGAAGGATGAGAACAGGTAGAATAAGGTCCAAGCCTGAATGATGATGTAAACAGCGCTGCTGTAGATCATGATCACCACAGTACAACAGCCAATGCCTGTAGAGACAGAATCAGGATTAGTCTATTTCTATAGTAATTCCTGTCTTCTGATAGCTGATAATGGTGCTTAACACATCGGTGGGCAATTTATAAACTGCTTGTAAATATCTCATATGTATTGTAATAAATTCACATATTGGAGAACATTACTTTTGGCAATTTGTGAATAATTTGAGACTTTCGCTCAGTGATATTTTAGTTTGATTTACTATCATCATGAAACACATCATACAGTGAAAATATCTCTTTCCACACTTTATTTTTGCATTAAAAAAATGTACTTTGTAATTTTAAACAACTTTCTAATATAGTTTGTATAAACATTTGTAGTCTAAACATTACAATGCACTGTTATTGTATCTGTTATTGTATCATAGATACTATGATGTTCATAGGATCAAGCTGTTGAAACAGATTTCCCAGGAATCCTTCAAGAAATGGCTTGACATGTCTGATCTGTCAGCTTCCAGCAGTCAGATGGCCTCCTGTTGTTTTAAAATATACTTATGTTCTCAGTTGCATTAGTAATTCCTTTCACTGTCTTAAAATATTGTTGAGTATGTTTTTCAAAATTCTGTTGTGATGAATTTTAATAATGATTGTGCAGGA